CTACTTGTGTTCAGTATCAAACAGATGAAACAGGTAAAATTATATGTAAAGAATGTCTAATGGGATATTCTCTTTTACCAAATAAATCATGTAAAAATACAACGGAAGTATTTGGAGAAAATTGTCTTATTGCTACAGAGGATGGGACTAAGTGTGATGAATGTAAAGATGGTTATTATCCAATGAATACAACGTGTGTACCATGTGGTAATTATTGTGATTATTGCAATGAAAATGGGTGCAAAAAATGTCATGAAAATTCCGTCTTAAATGATACCGACAACACCTGTCTTTGTTTGTTAAAACGAAATCATTTTAACAATAAAATTATTTAAAATAACATTTAGATTGTGGAGATCATTGCTTGGAATGTATATTTGAATTCGGTTCAATAGAATGCACAAATTGTGAACCCAATACGTTTTATTATAATGGAAAATGTAAAAGTTTGTTATATATCTTCAAGTCATATTATATTTTCGTAATACAATTTGTAATATTCAATTTACATTATTTATAAGATAATATAAGTGTTATATTTAGACAAATTAAATCAAATGAAAATTTTGGATCAAATAACATGTTTAAACTTAATAAAAATATAATGAATAAATACAATTTGAACCAATTAATATTAATTTAAAATGAAATATTTTATTATAATGTTAAATTACGTTTACTATTATTAATAATTCTAAAACTATTAGCCAAAACCATTTTTATTTTCATTGTAAAAAAGTTATAATTTATTAAACATCAAAGAATAATTAATGTATATACAACAACTAAATTATAGTGAATGAATTACCTGCTTACACTTGTAATAGCACTGCAACCACATTAATAGAATGTGAAACCACTGCTCAAAGTTGTGTACTTGAAACAATTTCAGATAATTATACTCTTTGTACTTACAAAGGGAGTAACTGCACTGCATGGGATAACAACAATGAGTGTACTAAATGTGTTTTGGGGTACATACAAAACCCCAATATGAAATCAACATGTGTTGTAACTGATGAAAATTGTGACACTTTCCAAGCCAATTCTGATAACACAGAAGTGAAGTGTGTGGTTTGTAAAGATCGGTATTATCTTACAGATGATTTTAAATGTTCAAAGTGCTCAGACTCGTGTTCCACCAAATGTCTTAATGCTCCAAATAATTGCGAACAAACAAACTGTAATGATTTTGTGTGTATGAGGTGTTCTACAAAAGATAAGTGTGACACTTGTTATGGATATGATCTCAATAAAGTGAATTCCAAAGGTACTTGTGGTTCTGTTGTATGTGCAAATTACCTGTTTGACTTAAAGTGTACAAGTTGCTTAAGTTATTCAGAAGAAACAATTCACCCAAAACCTTACTCTGATCCAGATTATCGTCTTCCAAAATATTACAACATGTATCTCTCAGATGAAAATTTCGAATGTACTCAAAGCTCGAAGAATGATGACATGAATTGGTTATGGATAACACTTGGGGTCGTTGGTGGATTATTAATCATTGCAATTATCATTGTAGTGATAATAATAATAACAGTGATTATCAAGAAGAAAAAGAATTCGGAGTATCAAGATATTTCAAAGTAAAAATAAGATAAGTCTTATTATTTAAATTTGTTTTTTATAAATTTAATAATATCTTTGTCATATAATTTTGGGAAAAACTTTTCACACCATTATGGCTACCAAATTGATTTTTTTTTCAATTTCGAATTATATTCAAATTAGAATTATAGTAAATAGAAAACAAAGAAAATATTATGTCTGGTTCCCGAATTCAAAAAATGCCGAAAATTCACCTCGAGTTAGTGGAAACCGAGTAAGACGGAGCATTGAAAAGAAGGCTCTGAAGACGCACCCAAACAGTTTGTTTGTGCACCGTTTCACACACTTTCCAAGTCCTCCCTTGGCTCGGTTCCCCTTGACCCCCTCAAGCTAGGGGGTACCACATCCGCGTCCACACAGTACGGACAGGGAAAGTGGGTGACATGGGAACTTTTTTCAAAAAGTTCCATGTCACTCGCGGCAAATATTTTTTTTGGTAAAGGTGGTGAGGGTGGTCAATGTAGATCCAATATAAATTATAAATTAATAATCGGAATTATTGTCCTGGTTGGAACCTGAATTTTCCATCTGAAATAGCATTGAAAGACAAACTTAATACTTCATTTTTTAATTAATTATAATATTTATTTATCAAATTAAACTTTATTACAAACTTTATTTAGTTGGAACAATAAAAATTTCGTTTTTTAATAAAATTTAAAAAACCAATGTTATAAACTCCAATAGCAATGAATATCGAATTAACAGTGATTGGTCTTCGAGATTTACACGCCGACGAACTTCCAATTAATCCTTTTGTCAAGTTTGTTGTAGGAAAGAACTCTTATGAAACGACACTGCGCCGTAACACATTTTATCCAGATTATAATCAGAAGTTTTATTTTACAGTCTTACCACATACCACACTTTCTTTTAAAATAATGACTTATAATTTCTTTGGCAAAAACACAGAAATTGGCAACATGCAGTGGACGATATCTCAGTTGATATTAAATAACACAAGACACGAAACAACTTCAGTATTTCCACGAGGTAAATTTATATTTTCAGTGAAGTGTTTAAAAGGCGGACTTCCAAATTATATGACTCCATATATTGACCCAAGTATAACATGTTTTCTCAAAATAACAGTTAATAGCATATATGGGACTAGTAGAGCCTTTTTCAATAAATTTGGACTTAATTCCGAAAAAACAAAAGCCGTTTATAATAGTTCAAAGGAATTGACAAGCGTCAAGTTTGAAGCCAAAACTTTGACGTATTCGACAAGGGTTAATGTCAAAAAGATTATTGATAACAACTATCCTACACAGTCTTCAGATATTTTGTCATATTCAGAGTGTTGTTCTATTTATATAGAAGGAAGTGTATGTGCCTTCATCGACTTTTCCGCGCTCTTCTTTGAAAATATCAATACAGAAAAGTCGATGTCATTAAGTACCGTACAGTACCAAATCCCTGATTTTCGCACCAATGAAATACAAGACTTGCACATCAGTGGCACCAATGGACTATCTTTTTTCTTGACAATTGAGTGTTTACGTAGTGTCTATCTTCACGTTGATCCCCGTTTATTACCACCTCCAAACGACTCGCCATCAAACAGAGGTTTTCCTTGTGAAGTTGACATTTTGCAAATTGGTAACATGAACGAGTTATGTAAAAAACATAATTTTCTTTTTCCTTCAATTCAATTGGAATATCAAAACGTCCAATATAAAACTTCTTGGATGTTTGAAAAAAGAAATGGAAAGGTTCCAGAAGGGTGGTTCCAAGGATTCTTAATTCCTATTCTCACTGGTACAACGTTTTGGTTGGAACTCACGTTTAGAAACTATCCAGAGTTTAGGGAGAGAACAGCGTTTAGGGAGAAATGTGTGTGGCCCGATTTTGAAGGGAAAAATAAAGTAAAATTCGATGTTAATTTACAAACGGTGATGAAAGGCGCTATTCTAAAAATGGAATTTAAACGAATAAGAGAAGTTTCTGCAACATTTTTGAAAGCTATGGTAAACGGAATACCAAAAATAACAGAGCAACATGAAATAGGTATAAACGAAAAGGAATTAAAAAGTGATGAAAATCAAGTAGTGGTCGAATCAAAAATAGAGGGATTTTCTCCTTTTTCACATTAAAAATATTAGTATTGTTATACATTTCATTATTTTTTTTAACATTTTTAATACCAATTAAATTAAAAAAGTCACAAAGTTTAATTATTTTATTTGTTGAACACTTTGGAGGGGTGAGTCACTCTGAACACAATAAGGTTATCGTTGTCATTTTTTTAAAATTAATTGTAGTATTTTTTCTAATTAATTTGAAAGGAAATTATTTAACCTGCGAATGGTCGCATGTTTTACAAGTTTTTTTATGAAAAAAATGTGTAAAAATTATTTTAAAAAATAACACACTGCATGAGAAAGCCATGCAACCAATAATAACAATTATAAACAAAAAATCATAAAAACAAATTAAAATAGATATTTTTGATTGGCTTTATAGGGGAAATTAAACAAATCGCCATTTTTGCCAATAACCAAATAAAATCTAAGTGAGAACTATTTGTATAAACAGGAAATTTATTTTTAATGTTGATGCAAATATCCCGATATATTACTACCACAAAAATATCAATTTTGATTGTTTTAGAAATCAAATTGATTGATACAATTTTTACATTTATAAATTCGGATAGAGTGTTTAAAACAAACATGTCTACCACATGACACACAAATATTTTTTTTACAGAATTTCGTTTTCCTTTAATTTCTTCTTTACAAATCGCACAATCAGAAGCGGTTTTTTGAATAAAAATGGGTTGTTTAATGTCATTCTTTGTAAATGTTTTCAAAAAATAAATAACAGCTTTTCTGGATCGTAGATTTAAATGATTCAATTTCCTCTTTTTAACATTGTTAATAATTAAGTGTATCGCGACATTTCCCATAATTTCAATTCTGTTAATTTTTGTTTGTGATGGTTTTTTGTTGTGTATAATTTGAGATTTCATGATAACGTACAAGTTGTTAAATGCCAGATTTAACATACAGAAAAACAAAGCTAAAGTCCACCTTCTTGTTATTTTCTTTGTATCGGTTCTTTTGGTAAGTGAGTCAACTATATCAACTCCTCCCATAAATTTGTTATAATCTATATTAACAGTGGTTCTATTTGGTAATCTTTGTGTAGAATATTTCGATCTAATAGTTGGTTTTATTGATACTTTTTCACTTGTATTTACATCCACTTCGTTGGGTTTAGTGCTAGACAGTAATAGTACATTTGTTTTCTTATCAATAAAACTCGATAAGTAACTCCCATTTGAACAATGATATGTTACTAAAGACCCATCTGTGCGCTTTCCTTTCCTTTTCAATTCATTTGGTACTTCCTTCCTTTTTGAATCCAAAGTTCCTATTTTATTTATGCCTCGGCTTGCCAAATATTCATATAATATTTGTGAAGTAAAATAACGATCTGTAAATAAAGTATATTCACTTCCCCCAAAAGACTCCATCAATTTAATTACAACGCGTTCGCCCAAACGGTGGACAACTTCTCCGTTGTTACGTCCTCTGTATAGAAAGGTATTAAGCACAGCATTTGTTTCTGAATCGACCAACATGAATATTTTAAATCCACATTTAGAAGGCTTGGAAGGCATTGTAACTTTGTTTTGGTAATGGCCAAAATATCTGAATGAGTCTTCATCAACACACAACACAGAAGATGGTTTAATTTGTTCGTTCATTTCTTTAAAAACGTCATTAAATGTTTCTATTATAAATGATATTTTATAATAATTATCCCAATGATATCCATATGTATATATTGGATTCGTTAAACTTTAATATTCATTATTATTGGTTAAAATGTTTTTATTTGTTGATGTTGTTATATTATGTTGGGTTTCGTATGAATCACTTGAATCATCACTAGATAAATACTGATCATTTTCAGATGAATCAGATGAATCACTTGAAGATGAATGAGTGCTTAAACTTGTATCAGAAAAACTTTCTTCGTCAATTTCACTTTTTGAATATTTTCTTTTTGTGTAATTTTCATTTACAAACATTTCGAATAAATCTTGCGAAACGTGTAAGTCTTCTGCTTTTCTTTTACATAAATTATCAAAGTGAAGATTTCTCAAAATCTGTTTGTATCTTCTAAGAGACATTGCAAACATATATGCTATTCTTGCAAATTTTCCAAACCAATTATTTCTTTGACTTAATTTAGTATCATTATAAACACCTTGCAATAGTGAAATACCAATGAATGCAAACATTTCATCTCTGTTGAGATCTTTCCAATTCCGCGTTGTTAAATGTGTTGTGTTATAAATAAAAACGAAAAATTTACCATGAATATTAGTATATGTTAACAATGTTTCAATAAACCGTGGTGGAAAAATAAAATCAATAAGTTCATCCAATGACATTTTTAAAATCTTATCACTATATTCTGCACTTCTCGTTGGTCTAACTTGATAACATTTTAACACGTTTCCTAAACTAATTTTGTTGTATTTGTATTTTGTTTCTATACCAACAAGAAAATTCATTTTTTTTCAATATACTCATTAGTAATAATAGTATTTGAGCCTTTTCCTTTTCTTTGACATGTTTTATTAATTGATGGTATCTGTTGTATTGAATTAATTGTATTTATATTATGATGTTTATCATCTTCCAATAGAACATTTTCTCCGTTAAATTTTGTGTGAATTTTGTTAATAAAAGTTGTGTATGCAATCGTATTAATCGTTTTAATGAAAACTTCTAAATTATCGGGATTGTGCATTAAAACAGATCTACAATCTTTGAACATAATCATCATTATGACATAATAACAAACATAAACACCACATAAAAGAGATTGTGCCGGCTGTCTACAAAAACGTGTTGCAGTGTAAATATTAAATTCATTATAATCGAGAGTATTAAATATATCTTTTAAATATGACACATAATCAATGTCGTGATAATTTTTCAATGGATTAAATATTATTCATATTTTTTGGCTGTCAACAACAGCTAAAACAAAATGTGTATATTGTAAAATAGGAATAAAAGTAAGCCTAAAACTCAAAATATTATTTTTGATAATTGTTGTCAAATTTTGTCCACCATGGTTCATCTTTAGAAGAAATGCATTGACTGATGAAACATAATAATAACCATCACCGCTTTGATTTGAAATGAAATTGTTTATAGTTTCTTCAGTCATCCCCTCGTAATTCATTGTCAAGTTTTTTAGTTGAAAACTGATGTTTTTAGATTAATTACTAAAAACATTCTAATTTATATTCATTTTTGTCGTGTAACCAGCAATTTATGTTTATGGTATCCACAATTAAAATATATAAGTATAATTTACATAGTTATTAAAAATAATTTTGTTTTTAAAATGTAACAATATTATTTTACTTAAAAATGCATTTCTGTTTGGAAAACAATCAAATACATAATAATAATAATATTATATTTTTACCGTAACAAATATATTTTTAATGTTATTATTTATAATATTGTCACCTATTTATATTTAAAATTTACACATTTGTGTAGTAAAAAATGCATTACTTAGTCATGCATATCAAGCTTACAAGGGGTATTACGATATTGTCGCTCTGACTTTTGTAAAACTTTTATTAATAAATATAAGTTACTAGAAACTATTATAATAAATAAAAACTGAAATAGTTTTTGGTGTTTTTGGTTTGAAATAATTAAACTATATAATAATTTATATAAATTAAAAATTAACTATTAAAAGTTTTGCATAAGGCAAAGTTCTACATAAAGCAGAGTAACCATACTATATTTAATTATTATTAATCAATTATAAACAGCCAATTGGAATCAATAATAATAACTTACATTCGAAGCACTTTCATTGAAAATATTAGAAAAAACACCAATTATCATATTAAATATAATTAATTTGATCATTTCTGCAATTTTATTACCAAAATTTTAATGTTGGACCGAACAAGGCAAAAGCAAGATGGTCATCTTCCCCACTATTTTTACTTGAAAGCATAATAATTTCAAACATCTTCGAATCATTTAAACCTAAAACTCCAATATATCTTGATATTACGTTTATTTGAATGGAGTGTATTATTTTGCTGCTTATTGTACTTCTATCACACTGCTCTGCAGCTTCTTCGACTGCAAACAAGATGGACATTTGCCTTGTCAAAACCAAATACGTTGACACGCACGGCCAGAAGCCCACCAAACTATTTAAAGTGAATCGTGGGGTAGTTTACGAAACAATAGAAAACAAAAAATTTTGTTATTATTATGTTTCCACTGTCTACAAAAACACATCAAAGTGCTTTGATGATCAGTACGTGTGGTCTGGCTTAGACGACGCCTCCACAGCTGGTGGCAAAATATTATTTGACGAAATGAATGCGACTGAAATGAAGCAAAGACTCTACTTTTCCTACTTCCCATTAAATGGTGATATGAACAACATGATCACTTTTAAAATCGAATATGTCGACTTCCAAGAGAAAGGAGAAGATGGCTCAGAAATCAAGTTTAGTAACATTGCGAGACAACTTGACTTAATAATTACAACAAATTTCAATTTAGTAGTTTTACTTGGGATGACTGTGGACTATGGAAAAGGCTTAACAGGAGCCGTTTGCTTCTGTTATGTCGTTGATAAGACCAAAACGGCGTATGTGACTTTCGACACCAAATACTTCGATTTCCTCACAACGATCTCCGTCGATAATTTCAAGAACGTTGCGATTAGTGGGAATGACATCTTAGTTGGCTCTCCAAAGTCGCGGGACGACCTCACAGCTGATATTTCACAGAACGTCTTTATTATGACTGTCGTCGATGTCCCGTCCAAACCGGAGTTCCCAGTGACTTTGTCTTCGCCAACTGTCATCCCACCACAAAAAAGGAATCTGTTCCAACTTGGTGGTGGCGTTGGACATTCGAACAAATACGCGTTTATTGCAGACCCTTTTCTTGACAGGGGTGTTGCATACGTCGTCAGAAAAGTCGATGGGACGACTCTCGATTTAAAGGCTACGCTCAATCCGTTCCCGCGGTGGGGAAGTTACCAAAAATTTGCACTGTATATGGCAGCGTTTAATAACGCGGATGATACAACTGACTTGTTCGTTGCGGCGCCAACAGCGTGGATTCATGACAATGTCAGAAAAGTCCAAAAAGAGGGCAGAAAAACAAGTGAATATATTGGTGTCATCTACCACTTCGTTATTGTAGATGACAAAACTTGCGAAACTAAAGGATACTACGTCGTACAGAACGATGAACAAAGTGGAATTATGAACTCTACAATTAGTGGAATGGTCAAATGGAACGACTTGGTCTTTGTGACACTCGAAAATTACGACGGAATATATAAACTCGGCTGCGACCAAAATATTACTCTTCAACTCTGATGTTTTGATTGGTGTGAACTAAAAGGTACTATTTTTATTAATTTTTTAATTATTAAATTATACTGTACAAGTAATTGGATTAATCACAAACCAGAGGTTTCCAAAATAATTATTGCCGAAAACGTGGTATTATAACGTACAAATTTATAAAAAAAATACAATTTGGTTATGAAATGGTGACGTGGGTTATTAGGATTGGGATTTTGAAAACCTCTGATTTACAATTTTCTTATGTTTTAATAGTTAATTCTAATAGTTTAAAATAATATAAATAAAACAAATAATTTTATGCTAAATAGTTAAAAATAGTTAAAATATAGTTAATTAAATTAGTTTAAAATAATAAAATTAAAAATAATAAATCAATATTACAGTCAGCCGAATCAACCTTCTGCAACGAAACAGCTTTCTGCGGATTGTTTTTCAAAAATAACCATAATTAATAACAATTCAAACCATTTTTAATAGTATTTTTTCGAGTTCAAATAAATATATTTTTATCCACAGGATTTTATTAATACACCTTCTGCAGTATATAATTGGTCTTATAAATATCAAAAAGTAAAAAAAAAAATAAAACCAAACTAAAAACGAACAGTACTCAGTTAACAAACAAATTAAACATAGACACGGAGCCAGACAACATTCTCGTGTTTTCAATTGATTTTAGTTACGAAGTAATAGCAAAATTGACCGACTTTAGAGATGTAAATGTGTTGATGACTAACATTGCATTTACTTAAATAGTTGGTACACCAACATATATGGCGCCTAATGTGTTAAACATGGAGATGAACAAAAAATGCAGATATTTTTTTGGCATGACGTTATTAGAATGTGTAACGTGGAAAGACCCATTCCAAAGGAACAGTTTATGTTTGGATGAATATTGTCAACTTTTTTGAAACTGAAAAGGTTGCTAAATTTAAAGGACTACACTTGATGTTGTAGATGATATGCGGTACCACAACGTTTATAAATGAATAAAAATTAAAAATTGTTTTTACTAAATTAGATAATATTAACACTTTTTAATTATTTTGAATTATAACAGGGGCCTCCAATTTAGTATATTTTTGACAAGGGTTACTTATGAAAAATAATAGTAAAAAAATTGGAAAAAAACAGAGCTAAAAAACTAAGCAAAAATTACCGTATTTGACCAAGATCAGATTATTAACATAAATTTAAAAATTTATAAATAAATCAACAAAACAATGATTATAAGTTTATTGTTATTTTAAATTATTTACATGAGTACTTTTGTATTTAGATAACAGTTTTATTATAGATAATAAAATAAAGAACTTAAAAAAATAAAATGAAACGCTCCAGTATATCATGTAACCAGCATCGATATATCAAAAAATTGGTAACAGTCTACTTTCTAAACAATTACAAACAGATGAATTTGGACAGTTGGACGATTTTTGTGAATTGGCAATGAACTTCGACGATTACATTACAACAAAAATCCTCTTAATTTAAATACTGTATATCTCCGGGATGAAATTAATAAACTCAGAGGAGCTCCGGATCTTGAGGCTTTTCTTCGAAAGACTCTGACAAAAAAAGGTGGTACTGACACGACGTTTAAATCCTTGGGATCTAAGTTCGTCTTTGGACTTACTTGATAATGCACCATTTTTGAAAGTGGATCAAAACTTTACTGTTTATTAGCGATGCTTCTTGCAATGTCACCCACCACTGCTATATGTGGATCCAGTTTTTCTTTACTGAAAAGATACAACAAAAACAATTTTGCTCACAATTCGTTGCGAGCGAGAATATACGTCAAAGACAGAGCTATCAATAAAATGGAACTATTATAAATTTAGTAATTTTTATGTTTTGTTTAACAATAACATTTAACTGATGTTTTTAATAATTATTTTGAAATTACTTAACACTATCTTGTTTATTTTAAAGTGGCTTCACAAAACTTCTGTTTTAAAAGCCATCTTTTTAAAAATGCTGATAATAATATGTTTTATTAATAATATAAATAATTTTCAATTTAAAGATGCCACGTTTTATGAATTTGCCACGTTTACAGTTTTTATGACAAGGGTTTTGAAAAAGGAGGACCCTGGTCCAGCATAATTAATAAATAGACCATGCAAAAAATATTAATACCATCACAAATAATTTCAATATTATAGTTTTTATATTTCATTCACAAAAATAAATAGACGCACCACAAACTTATATGTTCAAGTCATTTAGAATTATTAAAGTTTTTTCTGAATTATTTTACTTTCAACAAAAAAATAAAAATCAACATTAAAACTATAAAAAACAATGAACCGAACATCAGCGAATTATGTTGATCTCACAGACACAGGTGCACGGGCTGACTATATACAGTTGGCGCCTACACCTCTACCTGGTACTCCGCTTCAATCATTTGCAACCCAACCATTCATCCCGCCTTCAATACAACCAAATCCAAGATGAAGACCAAAGAGATTTGGGCCAGAACATTCAGAACACCGAAAGCACCAATACACCAAAATTGGTTTGAAACTCAAGCAACTGTTTGTTGAAGAGTCTAGGAAGAAACCTGACCAGAAACCCGAAGATTTTTTCACAGACCATTGGAATACCTATTCACAACTGCACCGCTTTGTTGACGAAGTTGAGGAAAGGGGAAAGTATATATCCTTTGAACCATTACAACCACAAAAGCCGCATTACTCCTTTCATTCACCTTGTTAAGCAGCATCTCAAAAAATTCGGCGACATCTTCCATTGAGAAAACCAGAAGGAAAATGGTTGAAGTTGTCATAGTTGAAGGAATCAAAAACATGGAGGATGTAGAGTTTGTAGATGTTTCCACTCTTTTGATATCAACGTAAAGATATAGGCGTTTGAAAGAAGATGAAACTAACCACAACCCATTTGAAGAAGCGTTATTAGAAGCAGAAATGGCCGTTCCATCCGAATCAACCTTTTTAAGAATGGTCAATGGACAAATCAAAGGAGAAGAATTCAAGTATTTTCCTTCTCTTTCCTTTAAGAGAGTAACTAATAGAGGGCCAAACGCAAACACGGAGGAAAACAAAGAAAACGCATCGCAGCTGTCAATGAATTAAACGGGAAACTGAACGCAGGATATACATGGGTTTGTGTAGATGAAACTGCCTGGACAATCGTATGTACATCAGTGTATGGGTGGAGCGAGGTTGGGCAGAAGTGTTTCTTGACAAAATTAAAAAACGGAATGCGTCTTTATTGCACTACAGCGATTGATAGTGGAGGAATGTCTTATTGTGACTTGGTTTATGGTTGTAACGATAAACGGGTTTACAATGCATACTTCAAAAGACTTATTTCAAGATATGACGAGGCGGGAATACGGGTGGTTTTTTGGTGCGATAACTGTAAAATACACAAAGACATGGAAGATATAATCGAAAATACAAACCATTGTGTGGTCTTCAATGCAGCTTACTCACCAGAAATGAACCCAATAGAGAATGTCTTTGGTTTCTGGAAGAGAAGAGTCGAAGATAAAATCAGAAAGTGGGTTGACCTTGAAAATCTAGTCACTCAAATTAAAGAAAGTTTCGAAGAGTTGCAAGTTCATGAAGTTAATGCTACAATGCAAAGATGTAGAAATGAAGTTTGGAGAAAGGTGTATGCTCGAGAGGATCTTTAAACAAATTCCACTTTAATAGTTTTTTATAACATTTTATAGAGAAATAATATTTTTTTGGTTTAAATATTTTTATTTTTTTGTTGAAAGTAAAATAATTCAGAAAAAACTTTAATAATTCTAAATGACTTGAACATATAAGTTTGTGGTGCGTCTATTTATTTTTGTGAATGAAATATAAAAACTATAATATTGAAATTATTTGTGATGGTATTAATATTTTTTGCATGGTCTATTTATCAATTATGCTGGACTAATAATTGTAGGTGGTGTTTAATTAAAATATGTGACGAAACAATTTATTTTTTGACTAAATAATTAATAAACTGACTTAATAATTATTGAAAATGGTGGGAATCGAAAACCCAATGAATAACACTTTACTTATTGTAAATAGTAAAAAACCTAATTAAAAAACATTTTAATACAAAATGTTATTTCAACTTGAAATTTAGTTTTTCACTGTTGTTTTTGTAAAAAATAAAACATAAAAATTAACTTACACATTTTGAGAAAGTCACTTTACAAAAATTAAATGTTATTTTATTTATATTTTTGAAGAAAGTCAGAAGTGAATCGACCACTTCTTGTATAGTTCTTTTTCTTTTTGGATGTTGTTTCCAACACATTTTAATTTATTCAAATAGCATTTCTGGAATAATCTTATTATTTTAGTTGTTTACCTGTTGTTACAAATTCTGTTATTTTCCAAAGAAATATATTTTTTTGATAAGATAAGCATCTTTCCAACTGAATGCTCCAAACACAGTGAAAGCAAATGAATAACAATTTACACTTTTTGTTTATTTTTTATTGATCAAAATTACGGGAGCTATATTACTGGGAGTACCTCTACCCTTTGTGAATAGTCATCAAAATATTGATATTATTACTTGATCTAAAGTCAGTTAGTTTGGCGTTTGATATGTCGTGCAAATTCAACGAAAACATAAGAAAGTTGTCTGGTTTGATGTCTCTGTGTAAGATGCCATTTTCATGTAAATATTAAATACCCTTGGAAGGTCTAACATTATTATAAGTCTAATTTGGTAAAAGGACATCTCGTAACTTGGACAATTGGTAACTTCAACATAAAGTTCAAAAAATATATTTTTCGATGTTTTATTTTTATTTTTTTTATTAATTTTTTTCTCGGCAAAAAATATTTAAGTATCCATTAAAAATAAAAAACCAAAATTGTTATTCAGAAAAAGTTTATAAATTTTTACATGTTTTTTTAAATTCACAACATAAAAAAATTATAATATAATTATCATTTAACAATTAAAACCAAATAATATTAAATTGTTAATTTTTATTATTTATCAATGCAAAAAACTAA